TCATGGCGAGGCGCTCGGCGCACCGCTCTTCTTAGGTCCGCGTTGTTTAGAACCTTCTGCTTTACTTTCATTCACAAATTTAGATAACTGAACTTTGGATCTTTGTGAATCGATTCAGATTCGTCCACGGCCGAACCGCCCCGTCCTGAGGCGTCCTCCACACGTCTGAGCTTCACGCAAACTCTGACTTTTCTGTCATTTTTTTGTAAACGGGCCTCTTTCTCATGCCTCCGGATGCAGTGAGATCATGTCCCACCAGTGCGTCTCTGGTTCTGGTTCTGTTTTTCTTGGTGTGGGGAGTTCCAACCCCTGCAGACGTCCATGTTTCGCTGCTCCCTCGCTCCCTCTCGCCTCCGTTTTCAGGAGTTATCGCTCGCCGTTCAGAAGCGACGCGGTGTGAAATTAGCCTCTGAAGAACCGACCCGACGTGCAGCTGCGGCGCCGCTTATCTCGCATTCTTGGACTGAACTGGAGCAGACCAGACTCACGGTTTGCACTGCAACGTGTGATATTTAGATGTTTAACGCTCTGAGCTGTTCCTTCTCAGCAGAACCTCATCCTGGTTGGTTCGTCTCCAGCTACCAGCCGGGTTTGGGCTTTAAAGAGTCCAGGTTCTGGTTCCCTTTTTGCAAAAGTCTGTGAATGTTTTGTTTTTATGTCTTCATGATGAATCCACTCATTAACGTGGCTTTTCTGCAGCCGGACCACAGATTTGTTTCAGATGTTTCAGAGGGATGGATTGAAAAGCCAAACGAGTGCAGCTGATGTGTGTCCAGCTCGCCGTCGGCTTTTCATGTGAACACGCTGGAATCATCCTGCCTCTCACATGCCAGAGGTTACTGCCTTTTCCTTTAAACATTTTGATTTATTTTAACTCTAATTGGGGGGTTTTAAGTTTTGGTTAAACTCAAACAAAACCCGGCTGAGCTGAACAGAACCAACTTGACACCTCTTTACAAACTTCTGCACGTCTACATGGCTTCACCAGCATTTATTCTGCTTTTGTTAAGAACTCATTTTCACATCTTAATCTTTCACTGATAGGAGTTACTTCCAAGTATTAAAACAAACGACTAATTAATACCACTAATCTGACACCAGTTATGTCTAATTAATAACAATAACACGTACTTTTATCTCTAATTTACGTCTAAATAACTTCACCAGCTGTTATTATTTTTAATTTGTCGTCTCTGCAGTAAATTAGCGCCGTCGTCTTTACTCTATAGCAGGTATATCGAAGTGAAACCTCACAGCCCTCAGGTCATTACTGCAAGAATGATAGAACTTCACCTTTAGATGACAGGAATTCACTCCAATTTATACAACGATTGATCATTAACATCTTTAGCTAATTACCATTATATGTAGTTGATTGCTGCTATGTGTAACCGGACTGAGCCTTTATCTCCGGTTGGGATTTTAGGTTTTGTCAAACTCACAGAAAACGGACTGGTTCAGCCCTCAGGTCACCTCCTGACTCACTTTGTGTTATTAAAGGGTTTCAGTCATAAATCATTGCAAATGCTGCTGCTGCTGCTAAAAGCTTCACCAGCTCTTTCCCTGTTTCCGTCTTCGTTGCTGGAGCGGACCGTTAGAAACCACACGTTGTGCCTCCGGCTGCAGGTTTGTGTTGGACGATGAGCTGAATCACCACCGATCTGTTTCAGGCGGTGCTGACGCCCACACAGATGCTGCTGCTTCCCGCCGACGCTCGTGCTGAGCCAAATGTAAAATCTGAGCTCTCGTTAAAACACCACGTGGGACCGAAGCTCGGTGATGTCTGGACTCCCGGCTTCTGTTTGTGGTCCTCTGCCGTCGCCGTCCACCTCGCCTCTCCTGAAGCTGGAGCAGCTTCCTGAGCGTTGAGGCGAAGGCGCGGCTCCCGGCGGGGACAATCAACCCCAGTTTGAGTCGCTGCTGGAAGCGTTCGATATCAACAAAGTAGATGCAGATGACTGCGCTGGTTCTCGGTCCAGGAAAACGTCGGCGCTTGTTTGGGGCCAAACTGGCTTCGGCTTTTATTTCCACTCAAGTGAAATGTCATCCGAGGCTGCGGTTAAGGAGCGGATCTCTGCAGCAACAGGCACAAACGTTGCTCTGCAGTGGCTCTGATCCGAAAGCAGACTGTGCTCGATCGGATTCTCAGTCTGACTGGATGCAGCCTGAGGCCTATAAGAGGAACTGGCTCGTCTCCGTGAAGTCTGATTAATCAGATGTTCTGGCTGAAGCATCTCACTAAGTAACAAACACCAAACAAACAAGGTCTTTATCGATGTCGGAGAAGTTCAGTCATCTGCGAGCAGTGACTGAACTTGTCCCTTCTTGCATCAAAGGCTGCGAGTTTGGACTGGAAATTGATTTACTGTCAGAAGTCTTCCTCGGTTTAATGAAAGGGTGTGTTTTGGTTTTTATTGGCAGTCTTAGTTTTAGTTTTTCAGATGAAAGCCTCTCAATCAGTCGATGATTCGTGACGGCAGTTTAGCAGCGTAGTCCCGAGCCGTCTCTGTTGTTGCCGTTGTTCTGGAACATCTACAGACATTCATGCTGCCATCTTCAAATGTCGCCTCCCTTTTGCACTCATACAGCCCCGTGTCATGATACTGCCACCTCACTGTGGCGGTCCCGGTTCAGGTCCACACCAAACACGCTGGACTCCATCTGAGCCCAACACATTGATCTTCATCTGACCAGAGAATGTTCTCCAACATCCATCATGGAAGTTCTGTACTGAACACCAAACACGGGGCTTGTTCTGGTCCTCCGTCCGTAGAGGTCGAGGTTCTGAAGTGAGGAGGTTTCCACTGATAACATCTGTATCAAGCTGCCGTCTGCTAGATCCTGAAGCTAGCTGACTGTCTGTAGAGTCTTTCCAGGACGACCACTGCAGCCCTGATCAGTGCTGCTGTGGCTCCTCTAGACCTCCTGTTGACTCTGTGATCCTTTTCCATCTTCCTGAAGTCTCACTAACAGATTTTTCAGTTCTAATTCTTCTCTTCTGGAGCCACGGTGCAGACATACACAGACACAGTTCGAGAAGGTTCTGCTGCTCTCGGCTCATGTTAGGACCATGTCCATGCAGTGACACTGCACTGCGTGTACTCTGTGACTGTACACCCCGTCTGGGTTGGAACACCGAGAAACTGGGTTTAGTCGAGAAAGCTGTCCGAGCTGCCTGAACTAGAACCTGAACAAGCAGCAGATATTTGATCAGTGGGCTTAAAATAAGCACCATTACTCAGAACCTGGGCCTCGGACAGAACCTGCAGCCCCGTGCCGACACCAGACCGGCTAGTTAAGGACTCTTCATGGTGGTATTTTTGAACTGTTGTCCAGGTTCTAACAAACTCTCCTCCTCTGAATGCAAATGAAGCCGCCTCGTGAGCGTTAATTCAACACAAACCTGGTGTTGTGTTGACGTGTGTGAAACAACCTGCTTTTTCTAACCTAATTAAACAACAGTAATTATGTCACCTCCGCTGGCTGAACAACAGTCGGGGTTTCAAGCAGCGCTGCACGCTGGCGGCAGCATGAGGTAGCTGCTCCGAGCTCTGCTGGGTTTTATATCACCACAAACTGAATGTACAGCAGATGCGCCGTCCTCTGCCGTCCAGCCACGTCCCATGGGCGTTGGGCCTTCGCTTTGAGTTTGCGGCCTTGTTTTTGCAGCGTGTGTCGTTGTGGAAGCGAACCGGTGGAGCGCCGCCAGGCCGAGCTGAGCCAGCAGAGCTCTGGAGGATTTCCAGGTGAAGCTGTTTCCAAAAAGCTGCTCTTTCCGTCTTAAATGTCAAGGAATCAGTCTTAAGTGGAGCTAATGCACATCAGGGCCTCCTTCACATCTCGGCACCAGTAATATGAGGCCTCAGCAGGCTCAGTTACGCAAATAATGATCCAGCTTTTAGAGGAAAGTCCACTCTGGGTTTAGAAACACAGAGGAGAGTCTGGGTTGTTGGTTTGCTTTTTTGCTTTTATTAGCATTTGCTCGCGTCCAAGTTTGTTTCCGACCCGTTGGGCTTCTTTTCAAAAACTTCATGGTATTAACCCTCTGGAGTCCAAGCTGGGGGGTTTTTTTGTTGTTTTTTCTCCTTTCCTGTTCATTGCAATATAAAGTCCTGCACCGCAATGGAAACACAAAACCTACGAGTAGTAGAGAGAACAAAGCCAATAAACCTCCCAAAGCGTCCTGGAATCAACATGAACACCGATTCAAAGCACCCACGGTCGTTCTAACAGTGGAAAATTTAAAAAGTGACTCTAAATGCTATAAATATTGACTTATTTTTGCTTTTTAATTAGTTTGTCTGCTCTGTATAGACGCTGCCTGCAGTTCAGTGGAAAACTCAGATAAATTCTTGATGATTGCATTTCAGTTGCAGAGGACAGAATTTTCTGTTCTCACCGAATCTCATTTGATCAAACAGCGAGTTTTCAGGCGAATATTTAGACGATTTCCATTAAAAGTCACGATTTGAAGCTCCGGTTTGGGACCAGTGGGAAGTTGTACAATCTGATGATACAGATCATTTGTGGCTCAGATGGAATTTGGGTGAAAAAGAAAATTAAATCCACCAGCAGCAGCGTCTCCTCCGCTTTGCTGCTATAACCTCCCGTTTATGTATTTTACACGTGTATATGATTAAAACAGAGGCCCAGGAATGTCCTCTGAACTGGTGGATATTAGATTTAAACTCTGGTGGTGTCACGTTTCTCGTGTCCACATGAGTCATCGTATAAACAGGCGCTTCAGGTTTTGCACTTCTAACCTGGATGACGTCTCATCCAGACATGTTGCGTCTGCGTCCAGTCTCCTGCTGCTGCTGCTTCTCGGTTTTCTGCTTCGCTTCTGCAGAAACGCTGAAACTCGATCTTTGCGGATGTGAAAACGCAGATGTATGTTGGGGGGGAAAAACCCGCAGAGCTGGGATCCTGGTGAGGTTCTTCCTTCTACGCAGTTAAATCTGAAAAGATCTGAGAGTGGCATCAATCATCTCATCGCAGCATCAGCATGAAGGCAAAGCTCTTTATTTTCCAAAACTCTTCCTTTAAAGTCACATGAATCAGTACATTGCGTTTTATTGGACAGACAAATAATTAAATACAGACTGAGAGAATTCTATGCAATATTTTGTTTTCAAAAACAGATGAAATTAGCAGCTTCAGTCCATCAGTTATCTGCCTTCAAAGTCCTTCCACCGTCTGGAATGACTAAATACAGGGAGGCTGAGTCGTTTCTTTAGGTCTTAAACCAAAGTTTTCAGTCATTACTATATTTACTTATGCTCTTTACTAGATCTGTAGTGCGAAGGTGGACCGCTCCATCGGTTGGTCGCTATGTTCTCATCAAATTCTCATTGGTCGGACAATCTCAGGTGTTACTTCCATCAGGAGAAAAGCCTCGGATCAACAGATTTCCTGGATTATTCCATCCCACTTGTCAGCAGGAGGAACACACTTCCTGTGAACACCCCCACATTTTTACAGCTGTGGACTGGTCCATCCTAATGGAGACTGATAGGCCAACTTGGTCAACATGTACTAAACCTTTACCCTCATCAGACGTGTAGGAACTAGCTCTTGGGATCTGAAAACTGGTTGTAGATGTCTGGAACAGATTGTAGAGATCTGAGGACGAGTTGTGAAGGTCTTAGAAGTCATTGCAAAAGTCTGAGGTCTGCAACAAGTTGTACGGGTCTGATGACTACTGGTACATGTCTGAAACTAGCCTATAAACTGGTAAGGGCTAGGAGAGATCTGAAAGTAAGGTTTGGGGACTAGTTGTCAAGGTCTACATCTAGGCTGTATAGGTCGGAGAACTAGTCATACTGGTCTAAGGACTGATTGTAGGGATCTGCAACAAGTTGTACATGACTGGTTGGAGATGTGTGAGGAGTAGTGGAGCTTTGGAAGTAGCTATAAAGGTCTTCCAAATACTTATAAAGAATGTGTACTAGTTGTAGTCTGAGAACTAGTTGTAGAGGTCTAAGGCTAGTTGTAGATGACTGCAAACAGCTTTAAACTTTTGAGGAGTAGTTGTAAAGGTCTGATAACTAGTTGCAAAGTTCTAAGAACTAGTTGTAGAGGGCTGCGACAAATTGTGCAGATGTGAAGACTGCTTGCAGACATCTCAAACTAGCTATCGAGTTCCTGGGACGAATTGTAGATGTGAGGGCTAGTAGAGGTCTGAAAGTAGCTGTAAAAGTCCACAGACTAGTTGTAGACAATGAGTACTAGTTGTAGAGGATTGGCACTAGTTCTAGAGATCTGGGAACTAGACATAGAGGCCCAAGGACTAGTTGTAGACGGTAGGTACTAGTTGTAGAGGTTTAGGAGTTCGACATAGAGGTCTAAGGACTAGTCATAGAGATCTGAGGACTAGTTATACATGTGTGGAACTAGTTGTACAGGTTTGGATTCTACTTGTAGAAGTCTGGAACAAGCTGTAGAAGTCAGAGGACTAGTTGTAGAGGTTTAGGAACTAGACATAGAGGTTTAAGGACTAGTCGTAGAGTTCTGAGGACTAGTTATACATGTGTGGAACTAGTTGTAGAGGTTTGAATACTACTTGTAGAAGTCAGAGGACTAGTTGTAGATGTCTGTAAAGACTTGTAAATGTCTGAGGACCTGTTGTTTAAGTCTGGAACTAGTCACAGAGGTCTAAGGACTAGGTTGTCCAGGTCTGGACTCAGTTCTGAGCACTAGTTGTACAGTCTGAAGATTAGTTCTAGAGATCTGAGAACTATAAAACAAACAGGTTCAAATGGTTAAATATGCTGCTGCTGCTACTGGTTCTGTTGGTTTAGGATTCATCAGACCAGTAAGTCTGCAGGTTGAGTCTGTTTTCATCCCATGGATTAGTTGAAGCAGCTACGATTTCAGTCGACTATGCTCGTCTTCGGTCCGATGCGCCACTCTTGTGTACGTGTTAAACTGCACCTGTTGCATTTCAAATGTATGTACAACTTTAACTTACTACAGTTTCTCTTCAAATGAGAAAGATCTTTAACATCTCACTGAGACTAACTGGCCGAGTAAATGAAGGATGAATCGTAGAGGATCCATGTGCACTGGATCAACAGCATAGTCCTCTGAGGAGGAGACACTTGAGACTCTTTCTTTCTCCTCCTTCAGTCCAGCTCTGGATGTTTTGGGGTTTATTTGAGGTCTTTCCACTGCAGGAACTCGGTTCAGGCTCGAGGTTTACAGGATCTGTAAACGGCCGTTTAGCTCGTTCTGTTTCCGTCCAACAGCGTCAACCACGACGATAGCTCAGGGTTCGACCAAACGACGACAAGCAACAGCAGCTGGACGTAACACCAGTTCTACAGCCGACAAAACCAGGAAGGTCTGTTGTGTTTGTGTTTATGGTGAATTCTACTGAGAGGAAAGAAAAACTACACCTCTTGTCCCCCATTTTTTGTTCCTGTCGCATGTTTTCCTGCAATATAAAGTCCTGGTTTTTACAGAATCTGGTCACTGCAAACTGCTTTTACATATATATATATATATATATATATTTTTTTTTTAGACAAGTTCTCAAATGAGATTTTCCTGCTGGAACGACACACGACAGACGAGTCGTTGGATGATTTTTTTCTTGTTTTTACAGTTTCTGCCTCCGATAAATGAAGTAACCGTGAAAAATGCCTTTCAAACCCAGCAGCAGGTTTTAGGGTTGGGAGGTTTAACCAATCAGCTACCAGGCCTGGACACCAGCCGGTTCTTTGTTCTCCTGGATGAAGTTCTACGGGGACGGTTCTTGACGTCGTGCAGAGTTCCAGCTGCCCTTAAATGCACCACGAGTTCCTGCAGTGGAAGAGCCGCTCGCTGGGATGAAGTCCAAAAGGATCACGTCTGTTCAGGAGGTGAGCTCAAGGTCGGCCACAAAGATTTCTCTTTGTTGGAACTGAACCTGCTTTAACTTTAATGAGCAGTGGCCTGGAGAGGTTCTGTAGGTTCTGCTCTGTTGTGTTTGACAAACTGTGACAGATTTGACGTGCGTTGCTGTAAAGGCGGCGGCAGGACGGTTGGATGGCAGCCACCTGATCGTCCGTCCGTTTACCTGCAAGCACCTGGAACGAGATTTGCTTGAAACCTTTTTTTAACCATAAATGATGGATATTTAGATTGATTCATGAAGTACTTTCCAAGATCACAATAAAAATATTCTCCCACTTTGTTTCTCACACGTTGAAATTTGAGGCTGTTTGAGCGACAACGTCTCAGAACTGTTAAAGATGAAAGTCTGGGAATGACTTTTCTAATAAATAGACGGAGTGATGGACCTCTAAAACCACGTCCAGGAGTCATCGGGCATCACAGAGACCTGGTCATGGTGCCCCTACGCAGCCAACAGCTTCTCATTTTGTGCCATATCTCACCTCATCCACAGGAACAGGTTATTGGATCCGATACTGAATCAATGACACGATGAGAAATAAAACTGGTTTTTATCTGTAACGGTTCCTCAGATGATGTCCTTCAAACAGCCTCAAATTTCATTCTGGGGGGAAACGTGCAGATTGATGGGCAATTAACAAAAGACTAGCTCTTAAAGTACTAAATACATCAATCAGAGTCATCTTTCTAAATATTTTATGGATCAGCCAATCAGAGGAGGTTGAGCAGAGCTAGTTGGAATGATGTGTCCACATACTTTTGGAAGATCACCATGTTTTCTTTGGAATCAGCCTCAGTCCTCTTTGTGGATTTTTTTGTTGCTAACTTCACCCCGGTGGCTCAAACTGTGGCTCTGGACCCTGTAACGAGTCACTGGATGAGCAGTCGGGGGCGTCTCAACACCTGCCCGGGAACAACCAACGAACATCAGAGTGTTGCTCCTGGAGAAGCTTTCTTTCAGGGTCCTCATGGGTCCTTCAGCTCCTCAGAAGTTCAGAGCTGTGTGGACGTGATCTTTCCCCTCCCAGGCCCCGCCCCCTTCAGCCGAAGCCCCGCCCTCCTGGAGGAGGCGGTTCAGGATGCTGAGGAGCCGCTGATGGACGTCCCTGCGCTGTCCTCCTCCTCCTCCTCCTCCGTCCTCCTCCACCTCCTCCAGGCTCCGGTCTGTTTCCGAACACTCCTGCACGGCTCGCTGCAGCTCCACCTGGTGGGACGAGTCGGAATTTACTTTAGTTTATGAGAACCGCCAATCTTCACTTTAAACACCGTCACAATTCTCAATACAGTCTTTCTGAAGTTTTTGTTTTTCAGTGTTTAACAGGAAAACTTCAGCCGTTCATCTCCACACTAATGTCATTGGTTTGACTTTTAGCTGATTCTGCACAAGCCTGACGTGCTGATCTCCTCTGGAGCAGAAAAAACAGGCTAAAAGTTCATCTATTTTACTGAGAATTTCAAATAAAAGCCCAGTTGACTGTTAGAGATCTGTTTTTGGTTTGGGGGCTTTACTTCGTTGATGGTTCATTTCTGTCCGTACAAATGCGACACCTTTAGATCCATGAAACGAGTGAAGCAATAGGACCGGTACCTGCAGAGGAAGGCCTGCTTTGGCTCCGAGCAGCGTGGGAGAAAACCACGGCCGGAATATCTTCTCACAAATCACCTGCAGACAAAAAGAGGAAACGAAAAAAAAAGAAAGCATGAAAATTTGGATTAAGATGTGAGGTGGGAAAAAGAGACGAGTTTGACTCTCAGGTGAAGAAAAACCAACGAGTAACCTCGTCAGCCGAGGAGACGGTGGAACCACAAACCTCATCAGTGACCGTCAGAAAACAGACCTGATGTCTAACAGCTGCATCAGAAGCAAACCACCATCAAAGAGCATCATTCTCTAATATCTGTCATGTCAACAAACCCCAAACCTTGTTCTCCTGGCCTCGATCTGAAATAGGTCGTTCAAAGATGATTGGTAACAACTGATATCAGGTTTGTCAGATTGAAGAGACAAAAAGGCAAAAAAGTGAAGAAAAAAAAAGATTAATGTGTAAAAAAAAA